CTTTATGGTCTGTTTTACTCTAAGTATCGGAGAATGACTGACAACCCCTAGACGACTGAGACCAGAAACCTCATCGGAAGAAACTCCGTTTTACTGAGGGAATACAATCCAACCTGAGAAGTCATTCATCTCTCGCCATAACAGACACCTCAAATACCACTTCTATCAGAGTGGCGCTCCTTGCTCGGCCTCTTACGTCAGATTCAGGTCTTTACCAGATACCTTCAAAGACCCCAGAAGCTCTGTCCGTCTGCTATTTACTTCCGCTCAATAACTCGTGTGTTACAGTCACAGATTTCAGCTCTTCCCGTCACCGTTCTCCCTCAATTATTCTGGTCAACAATTCATACACTTTCCTGACTGCTCGCGTTGTGTTGCTTATCTTTTCCTCTCTTCTTTCTCTTCCCCATCTCTCCTCCTCCTCTCTCTCTCTCACTCACACACACACACAATTCAATTCCTCATAATCTTCTATTGAACATGATGTCAGGATGAAACAACTATCTCCCAAATGCCGTCCCAGCAGAAATGTCAGGTGAACAATATTGCCAAAGCGTCAAGGATAAAGTGATTTAATAACGAGAGGAGAAAAAAAAATAAAATTTATTAAGTAAAATAAAAACAACAAGAAGCTGTAAGTGTGTGTGTGTGTGTGTGTGCGTGTGTGTGTGTTCATCAGTATTCCCGCCCTCACACAGAAAGCAAACACAGAGCCGATCACGTACTGCGCTGACATTTCACCCAAACACTGCTGCAATAATAAAACCATCATGTTTGCAGCAGCAGCAGCAGGACCTCGAGGGTCGGACGTATTTCAGTGAAACAACTGGACGACCGCGGCTCTGATTTCTGATATTTGCTGCAAATATTTACGTCACGATGAATCCTGATGACTTTACCAACCTCCTGACCTTTTCTCTGGCATCACCCAACTCTAAACCCTAAAAATCACATTAAACCTCCAGTGTGTCAGACTGACTAAATATAATAAAGATCGTAGATTTATTTAAAGCTGTGAAAAGGTGACTAATAATAATAATTATGGTTATTGTTGTGTCTTTATCAATTAATTTATTAATTAATTGCAATCCGTACCGGCCCTCTTCCTGTTTAAGTGACCACGCCGGTGAGTTTTCCAACAGGAATTCGACGAGTCAGACTGTGAGCTTGCTGCGGCTAAACTTTGGCTTTTGTTTATTTGTTTGTTTGTTGTCCAGAAGTTGAGGCTCCGCCAGGGGAAGCAGCTGATTGGTTGACCTTTCTTGGGGAGGTCAGGGGTCGAAGGCCATGGCGGGCCGACTCCTCCTCTTCCTGTTCATCTCGGTGACGCTCTGCCACGCCCACTTCCCATCTGGCCAGCGTCTGAAGCCCCGCCTCCAGAGAGACCGCCGCAACATCCGGCCGAACATCATCCTCATCCTGACCGACGACCAGGACCAGGAGCTGGGTGAGTATCACAGATATTAGCCTGTTATTAGCATTAATAATTAATTTACTATTATTGTCACTATTGATACTTTTACTGTTGATAACACTGATGACTGACACAGCTAAGCCCCGCCCTCCTTAGTTACTGTTGCTACGCCTGTCAATCTAGAACCAGTTACTACAGTTCCCATCATGCCCCTGCACTGCACATGCTCTCTCTGTCTCTGTAGGTTCGATGCAGGCGATGAATAAGACTCGTCGTATCATGGAGGAGGGCGGGACTTCCTTCTCCAACGCGTTTGTGACCACGCCCATGTGCTGTCCGTCACGTTCGAGCATGCTCACTGGGAAGTAAGAGATGTCCATCTTTACCCGAATTACTGACTCATTTTCTGGGCTGCCACCAACTCTAATCTACTAATCATCTCACGTTTGATTTAATTATTTAAATATCTGTATTTTAACACCGGCCCATTAAATGCTAACAGAAAAATGTTTCTGAATGTGTCCGAACAACCAGCAAGGAGATTGAACATTTACAATGCTGTAGATACAGGGCATAGGTCAGTGCTTTAGATTACGGTCAAAAGGCAAAATGTTTTTGCTTCTTTTGGCACATACTTCATCTCATCTTCAACAAAATTGGTGCATAACATATTTAGATGAGGCCAAACAAGACTTACGGGTTCATGTTTGAGTATCACTCATCGTTGGTCTGTAATTGGTTACCGAACTTCCAAAGACATAGCTCGATGTACTTAACAGGACAGAATTCTTCATTTCTGCTGACAAAAGCTCCTGCATGTGGCCGTTGATAAAACCCTGACGTAACGCAATATTCAGTTCAACGCCATGAATCACAAACGGTACCACTGGGACTCTTTCAGAAGCAGTCAAACATTAAGTATTGTGGTTGTCGTCAGCTGATCCCTCCTCCTTTAAAGTCTGCATTCATAAGCAGTATGTAATTAGATTACATTTTAATAGTAACATTACCCTGTCTGTCTCTCTTTCTGTCTGTCAGACTCTCAGTGTCTTTTCAACAGTTCTCCACCTGCTGGTCTGATGTGGACCGAGCAGCTCTCTCCTCACCTGCAGAGGAACAAACAGGTACGAAACTGCAGAGACGATAACAACTCATTTCAATCTGACAGAAAGTCGCTCAGGTTCAGCGTTACTTTGCATAAAGTAGGAGAATCAGGGCCGAGCTGTTTTCCGACAAACAGATAAAGAAATGTGATCTGTTTTTATCTGATGTGCTCATAAATTAAAATCAGGAGCTTCCAGTTCATAACAAAACAATCACAACAAAACTGAGATTTCCACACATGTATTATAATGAAGTATGTCAAATCAAATTGGATAACGGGTAATTTTCTTTTTTAGTTTTTTCTCATTTTAAAACAAAGCACACAAAAAAAAACTGAAACAAACAAATAAAACCTACATTTTATATTTCACCAAATGTTTGAATTAAGCCTTTTATGTTTATGCTAATAACTCATGAATCATCATTGATCATTGATCGTGACTCGATGTACCTAACGGGGCAGTATTCTGACTACTGACATAGCTTCAATTTTGGGTATTTTCAGATGTAAATCACAAACAAATCTTGCTGGCAATCGCACGTATTTTCTTCAGGGAATGCAAATATTCTAGTTTATTTATTTTGTTATGTCTGATAGCGCCGCTGTGAATCGCTCCTAAGGTGGGCACGTGCCATCTGACTTACTCTGTTTTTAATCTTCTTCCAGCTCCAGGACACTCTGCTGCAGAGAGAGGAGGAACTGGCCCGGCTGCAGGAGGAGAACAACAAACTCAGAGAGTTCCTCAACTCTTCCTTCGTGAGGAACCTGGAGAAAAAGGCAAAGGTCTGTTCGTAACGCACGAGAATCAGTAGATTGAGTTCCCAATAATACTTCCTGAACATCAGAATAGAATACGAAGTGATGACAATCACTTGGCTTCTTATCTGGTACTTTTAGGATCTGAGTCCAGAGGCTTAAGTGCAGTCCTACCTGCCTATGACCAGGTTGATATGCAGACAGTATGAGATATATGAGACAGATGGGTCAGATGTTTGTCGAAACCAGAAAGGTGTTATTCTAAATGTCTCGCTCTGTCCTTGTTCGCCCCTCACAGAAACTAACCACTGATGGGAGGAGGAAGCTGAAAAGAAACCTGATGTTCGCAGACGACGGACCTTTCCAGAGCTGCAGTCATCAACTCCTGACCTCCCAGCAGGTCAGCAAGAGAGTCTGCAGGAACCTCACTGCTGAGTTCTGCTCCGAGTCCTCTGAGACGTCTTCCTCCTCAGAACCAAACCTGGACCTGTGGGTTCTACGAACATTGGGACTGAAGGACAGAGACACCATCGATACGTCCTCCTCCTCCTCCTCCTCTTCGCCTGGATACAGTCTCAGCAGTTTAGTTTATGATGCTGCAGTCAGCTCTTCCTCGTCCTCTGAATACTCTCTCAACTCCTCTTTCGGCCCTTCGGACGCCACTTCTACGCCATTCTCTGTGCACAGCTACCGCCAAAGATCGACACATCACATCGAGTATGGGTACACTGCTGCCGAACACCAAGAAGATAATTGTGCTAATCCTGCCAAGTCGCCTCAGAACTGCACAACTTCTCCAAGTCAACAAGTAACCGGACCGTGTGAAGGTCCGGAGGCTGTGATCAGGAGCTACAATACACTAACTGCCTTCCAGTCGCCACCAGAAGAACTGCCCTTCACCCCATCACAAGACGGTACAGAGATCTGCTCCTTCGTAGCCTCGAGTCGAGTCCAAACTCCTGTTGAACATCCTGCCAACTGGTCTCCACTAAGAGTCACCCGGACCCCATCACAGAACAAAATCCACTTCAGTCCAGCAGGAGAAAGATTCCCTTTCTCTCCCATCTTGTCATCGACTCCCATCATGAATCAGCAATGCCCAATGAGTCCAGCAGTGGGAGCTCAGCCTCCTGCCACGCCTCAGACACCTCGCAGCCGGACAGATTTGGCATTCAGTATGTCCCTCAGCCCGTCCAGCAGTGTCAAGACCCACAGCTTCCCCCAGGGACAAGCGTTCGTCAGAAAGGACACAGAGGGAAGGTGGAACTTCACCTGGGTGCCAAGACAAGGACCATAGATTCTTGCTGACCTCAAAAGGACCTCAGAAAAGATTTCCTATTTCGTGTTGTTAACTGAGAAGTTTCCTTTGGCCAAACTTTTAGGACTACAAGTCCACACTGAACTTGTTGCTGACTTCTTAGACTTTGTTCTGGGTTCTTGGTGCTGATTTTACAAGACAATGCCCTTAAAGACCCTCGGTCCATACAGACAATTATCAAAGACCTTGAAAAGATCGAGAGTGATGGAAATTATTTCTCCTCCGATAATTTTCCAATTATTGGGATTATTATTATCCCAAAATCAATGAGATGCTCAGTCAGATTTTAAAATAGCTGTGTTGGATTTTGTGAGCTTTTTAGGAGAATTTCTGGGGCCTAAAACACAGCAACTTTTCTAAAAAGTTGCAGTGTTTTTAGGCATTCATTAAAAATCAAAGGCAACTTGTTCCAGGAGAAGGAAATCGAACTGTTTGGAGGATAAATGTGTGGCGATGCACCGATACCAGTATCAGGCACCTGATGCCTCCCTGATAGCAGGAGATGTTAAACAACATTTAATTTGTTACAGTCAGAATGATGATGAACATCTGATGAAAATTAAAAATTTAAAGTCATTAATAGGGTTAAGTACTCATATTGATGCATCTTCACAAGAAGAAACCAGGAAGTGAGTTTGGCTCGACATCTTGCACAGAAAGGTTGCAGTGATTGGATTTGTGTTAACTGTTGTGATTGTAACTTCCTGGACGAGCTGTTTTAGGATGTGTGAACTGTGGGAGTTACAGATCATTGTAGGTTTGTAGCTAATTAAAGCTAACTGACAATGAGTGTAACATTAAGCATTAACAGGACTGCCTACAATTATTGTTTATATGCTGAGGTTTTTGTTTTTATATTTAGTTTGTGAAACTGCCACATAAAATATCAGTAATGCCCCGTGTGCCGCTTTGTGTCCCTTATTATATTTATAAAGTACAAACTGGTGCCACCAGAAAGCGATAACTGCCCCTGATATCAAACAATGAATGCACTGGTATGAGCATGGGTAGCTACCGGAGGGGGCCGGGACCTGTGCCCCGTCAGCATCAGATGCTGTATCCCAGTCCACGAATAAAAACACATTCAGCACTATAAGATACTTACTATAAGATAAGTCCCTCGTCTCTGCTTCCTGTTTCATGTGGACTTTAAAAGAAGCTAAAAATTAGAAAAATACAGCAAATCAATGTGATATTAAAGCTGACACTAATTGGTTGGGTGAAGATTTGTCACTGCCGTTCCTAACCCTGTTTTTAAAACACCTTCTAATTGCTACGAATTAGTTAAAATGAGTTTTTGAATATTTACACTAATAATCAAACATATGACTGGATACTAACAGTAGCATGTTAGCTAGTAGCATGTAAAACATCTAGCTAGCTTGCTAACTAAACACAAAGCACTTTTAAAACCATTAAAACCATCATTTTGTTTGTGAGGAATTCACATATTGGCACATAATTAAAGACTTCTCATCCTGTGAGTGTTTCAGAAACACAACCTCTGTTTTCAGCTTCATGACAATAATCCAAAAAGGTTTTCAAGCATTTATTTAAAACGAAGGAGAATTTTCTCAACCCATATCTGGAAAATTCAAGATTAAAATATACATTTTCTTTTTTTTTTTCACAAATTCTTGTCACCAACTTTTTATTTTAATTTTCCACAACTTTTAATAACAACACAAAGTTATACGATGGAATTAACGCAGCAGAATATTAAATAAATACACTTTTCCCCTTTTTCTCTGAGTAAAAAACTGTTTTTAAAATCCAAACCAACCAAAGTAGGTTTCACTATGAAATATATTGTTCACATATGTCATTTTTCATTAATTTCACATCAAGAAATTAACATTACACTGAATGAATGAATGAACTGATTAAAATGTGCTTTATTTTAATTGTAAATTATTTGCAAAATTGTTGTTTTCAGCTCTGATGTTAAACTCACATTCCTACATGTGAATGCTCCTTTGTTATTAATATGAGAATTTCAGGGTATTTTTTGTTAAATTTGGTGCAAAAAGTCACCATAAACGCTGGTGTAACTGGACTCACACATAATGTAGTATAAATATTTAATTCATACTAACACAGCAGCTGGTTGTGTTCACTGACGGTTGATGTAACGTCTTTATATGAACATGTACAGAATGTAAACTAACAGGAAAAAACTGATTCACAGTCTGAGTCTCTGATTATTTCACAACCTCACATCTAACGACATAAATATATAATATACATATCTCTCTCTCTATATATATATATATATATATATATAAGTATTACATTTACAAACTACTGATTTGTGACTGTTGCCTGAATTAGGTTCAGTTGCAACATCTCTTTGAGTGAGAGAAGCTTTACATTCGTGGTCAGAGGTCACATGATCAAAGAGAGCTCAACAGTGAGGAAATAAAAATTCATATTCTAAATAGATCATTTATTAATCATTGTTAACGTTTTGTCTCCACTACAGAAACACTAGCTAACTGCTAAAGTCTGATAATGTTTGATTAATGCTTTAATAATTGTGTAAGTATTGATTACTGATCAGGATCATTTTCAGATAATTGTACTCTTTCTATTCGGGGCCAACTGAGTAAAACCAGACTTGTTAAAGTTTTCTGTCTGTGCTGACAGCCTCCTCACTCTTTAGCTCAGTTACCAGTTCAACCAGTCTGACCATCCCTCCCTTTTCGGGAACAAAAGCGGCTCCCTGGAGACGGCCCACCCCCACATCCTCCACCCCGATCCGCCCCCCAAAGGTAACGATGGTGGGGTTTCTGCTCCCCGGGGGCTCCCAATACAGGGTCCTGGGTCCCTCGAGGGCGAGCCGGGGGGCCGAGGGAAAATTGGGAGCGAGATGTGTCCGTGGCAGAGCCGACCGAGTGGTCTATCTCTAATGACAAGGTAAGACCGGCTGCAGATGTCCGACAGATTGGAGGCTCTTTCAGGACAGGGAGGGCCCCGAGTCTGGCAGGAATGTGAAAGGAGGGCCGCTCCGGATCACAGGCTCTGAGTGTCGGCCAGGGAAAGGGGTCATTAAAGAGGCTGGCCGGCTGAAACTCAATCCGCACCGGCTGATCTGGGGCAATCGGCTTCTCTACCGGCACGTCTCTCGCAGGGCCGACAGCTTTGGGCTCGGGGCCTTCAAAAGCACGTCAGCTATGAGTCGACACGTCTCGCCACAGTTGTGAGCCGTTCTCAGGAGAGAGGAGAGGAAACGAGAGAGACTGAGAGAGGACGAGACGCGGACGAGAGAGGAGGGGAGAGCAGCTGATTAAACAACCTGCCCAGCTCAACGCAGATGGAAACAATTGAAGGACGGAAAACAACAATAGGCCAAAATCTACCAAACCTGCTTGGGTTGGTTTTAAAGCGTGATATAAATTATTTTCACTCCTTGCCACTTTAGGGGAGGTCGCACTTAGAGTCAGGCATCACTCCAACCCATCCTCCTAGGGCACCTTCCCTCCTTTGCTCTCGCATCTAGTTGACTATCGAGTGAGATGCGAATCATATGTTGGTTATAATATCACCTCTCATTACTCTTTCAGTACTTTTTGAACCGAGGACCAGATCCTACTCATATTTAACGAGAGGTTCACTGGACTGAACACTAAGCAGACAGCAAAACCAGGGCCCAGAACAAAAGAGGACTGAGCAAAAGCTAATTCAAGAGTCATGAGCCTCAGCATGGCCACTTCACCAAAAGAATAAGGCCTGAAGTAATAGGACTGAAGAATACAAAAGAACAGACCCAAGTTAGTTGGTGGAGTGGGAGTGGGCGAGATTGCCTGGACATGCTTCCGGCGCGTCAGGGTTGGGACGGGTTCATCAACAGGCTCCCAGGCAGAGCACATTAACCTGGACATTAATTTTGGAAGGTACCAAAACAATGTCTTGAGAGCGCCAAGACCACCCATGTACTTGTTCACTCCCGTCTGTTTCAGGATAGATGGTTATTCCCACACATGATCTCCCTCTTGAAACAGACTGGCTTTTGGTATCACCACTCGCCGATGGGACATCCTTAATTCTCAACAAGATCTTCCCAGAACATGTTCCTCATTTACTGTTTTGGTAAACACACCCAATTTCATTGTGGACGTTCGAATGTAGTGCACACATATTAATTA